CATTCCTGTTTGCAACATCAGAGGTGTTAAGGATTTATGCCCTGATCCTGCAAATACTTATGCAAGTTAAGGAGGTTAATTCTGACCAGATATTTAAAACTAAAGTTTGTACAGTAAAAAGACACAAGTGAAGAATGGATTGGGGAACAAATTGAATATTTAGAATTTCTAAAGTTAAAGAATATTTAGGTAAATTACATAAGTCAGCATGGCATGATGCTGCCAAGGAGACCTTCAAGAATATCAGGCAGTGAAGGCAGCAAGGGAACAAAGAACAGGATGCTCACGAAGGTAGAAGCTCTCAGCTGGTCACCTCTGGTTCAGAAGTAGGGTTCTGAATCCCCAACCATCAAGGTGAAGAACTGGTACAAACCCCTGGCATCAGAGAAGGAGCTTACTCCATTGGTGAAAGAAGAAAACCATGTACCCTAACAGCTGGGAAGAACAAATCCATGATATCCAGAAGAAAACAAAGGGTGATGGTTGTTACCAATTCCCTTCTGTGGATGGTGGCTGCTGCAGCGCAACAAGACCTAGGGGCTGAAAACCCCTGCCCTGGGGATGAAGGGGCGGTGGAAGGATGCCAGAGGTCCTGATAAGTGGCCTGGTGAGGGCTGGAACCAGAGGGAATTTACCTGCTACAGGTGCAGCAGCTGGAGACATGGAGCAGTGGTTGACACTATCCGTGTGGTTTTTAATCACGATGTCAGTGTGGCTGGGGCAGTGCAGAGACGTGATGTTATACGCCCACGCTGGAGACGGACAACAAGAGCCAGCACAGAACAGCAAAAGGGGAAGCAAGAGCAGCATCACGGCAGCTGCAAGCTCCAGGGCAGCACTACCAAGCAAGCACATGCCACACCGGTTCTACAGAGGGGTATCTTCCCTATCCTAAGACCGATGACACCCTAGAGGAGGAAGGGCCTAGGATCCGAAGGCCCGGCTACCGAAGGGGACGCATGAGTGAGGAGGAGCACTACAGCCTCCCTGTTTGTGTTTTAATTTCACCTTTGTTTTTCTTTTCACCATTTCCCACACATTATCTCTGACAGTTGAGCGCTGCAGGGCTGAGGAGACCGAGAGCTCCTAGAGGGCCTGCGTGGATGACGGGATCTGCAATGAATTTAACTGATGATCTAATCTGATTATGAAGCCCCAGTGGAACGGACTGTAATCTAAAGACTGAGAATGAATAGAACTATGAATAGAACTTAAGTTTCCATTCACCATTTTTGTTCAATGACTGGAGTCACGAAGTAACCCTGGCTACTCCTCAGTAGCCCTGGAGCTGTTCAGTGATAGCAAACCAGCTCCCTCTCAAGAAAGTAGTCAACAGGACTGGGGTCATCAGGCTGGTCCAGCCAGACAAAAGTCCAGGTAGTGAAAACCATTCCGCAAGACACTTATAGGTTGGCACGTGGATGGGGTGTAGGGGAAAAGGCGCCCCAAGAAACATCTGTACGGAGTGCACCTAAGGGTGGTCCATACCATATGAAAAAGCCTCCCTTACCTTTTTAAGACCAAGGCGAGCAAGGGAAGACTCCCTTAGGGGAAAGCATTTAACGGATCAAAGTACCAAAAACCACAAGGGCCCAAATTTGGGTTACCAGGTCCCGAGCTGCTTGGAAGTGGCTGATATGGCATAGATGGGCACAGTGGCATTCATCTGTTGACTGCCTATCATCTTAAAAGACCTGGTGCCTACCAGGAGCCTGAATATAAGATGTTATGCAAAGGTTGCTGAGATGGGTGCACTAATGATATAGCCAGGTGTGACCCTGCACAGATCAGAAGTGACTACTGAGCCATGGCCACGAGGGAAGAGAAGACAGGAGCTCAAGCTGTGTTCTCATCACCCCTTCTAATCAAGGGTAAAGGTCTAGGCAGGTGTAGTCACATTTTGAAAATAAAATGGCTGAGCAGATAGTCTCTCTCAAATAGCTTTTACTTCCTTGATCATGGGGTAGTATTACAAGAAAAGGTGTTCTAGGAAGAGATGGTATCCATCTAATGAAGCGGGGTGAAAGTATCTTGGCATATAGTCTCACAAACATAGTGAGGATGATTTTAAACTAGGTTCAACAGGAAATGGAGACAAAAGCACGGTAAGTAAAAAGCAGGGTGACTTGGATTAAGATCAAAGAATAGTTAGTAATAAGGGGAATCTTAAAGTTGTAAGAAGTGAATTGGCTGGGCAATAAGCTAGTTATTCAAGATGTTTATACACTAATGCAAGGAAGACAGGGAATAAGCAAGGTGACTTAATCCAAGCACAAAACTGTAACCAATTTAAGATAACTGAGACTTGGTCAGCTAGTTAACATCACTGTAAAGTTGTCATGGATGAATACACTTTGTTCAGAGAGGACAGACCGGGAGGAAAAAGACAGACCTTCTTAACATATTAAATAAACTCTTGGGCACAAACACAAAGTGCCTTTTTTAAGTCTAGGAAAGAAGCAGATAGAGAGTAATTAAATACTTGATAAAACAAAGGCTTTTGTTGAACTCCATTACCTAAATGAAAATAAATCACCCAAAGAATTGGATGAGGGCTTTACAACTGTGAAGAAAAGGCTATCAGAAGTAGCTACAAAAGTACTAAAGGGCAGTTGAAATTGATAATCTCATTATGAAATAAATGAAATACTCTAAGTAGAAACATAGGCTATCAATTTCAACTTCTTTTTACTGATCTTTCCTGGCTATGGCACTGTTTGGATGATGGGATTGAATGCACAGTCAGAAATTCTGCAGCTAGCACCAAGCTGAGGGAGGTAGCGAACACTTTAGAGCAGGGGTGGTCAACCTGTGGTAAGAATACCGCAAGTGGCATGGGCAACCTCTGTGTGGGACAGGCAGCACAGCAGGAGACTGAGCAGGAAGCAGAAAGCATAGCAGGAGATCAGGCAGGAAGCAGAAACAGAGCAGCAGGTTGGACAGGGGAGTGGGATCGAAGTGATATTCAGGGAGGGTGCGGAGCTAATTTGTGGTCCTTCTGCTAAAAAGGTTAGCCTCACTAGAGGATAGGGTCAGTGTTTAAAATAACCTTGCAAAACTGGAGAAACAGTTCAAAGCGATTGCCTGAAAGTCAGAGAGGAGAAGTACTAAGTACTGCACTTAGGACAGAACAATCAAATCCACAAATACAAATTGCAGCAAGACTGGCTAGGGTGCAGTAATGCAGAAAAGGACCCGGGGGTTACAGGGAACTTTAAGCCGAACAAAAGTCAACAGTGTGCTCTTGCTGCAGAAGAGTCAATAGTATACAAAGTTATATTAACAGGAGTGTTGTTTGTGGGTAATGGGAAGTGATTCTTTCATGCTACTCAGCACAGGTGAGGCATCACCTGGAGTTTTAAGCATCGCACTTTAAGAAACATAAAAAATTAAAAAGTCCAGAGAGCAGCAAAAATTATTAAAGGTCTACAAAACCTGATTTATGAGGAAAGATTAGGAAAACTGGGATTATTTAAGAAGGAGAAGAGAAAACTAAAATAAAGAGAAGGGAGGACTTGATAATAGTCTATAAGGGTGTGTCTACATGTCACCCTGCGGCAACATAGTGATGTGCTACATTGCCATATGGTGCACTATGACGACAAGATCACCAGCTACATCACTGTAGGGGTGAACTTCCTGGGTATAGTATGCTATAGTATGCTACAGCGATGTAGCAGTGAAATCTACTCGTGTGCCGCACACATGGTGAAGTAACCACTGCACGAGCGACAAAGTAACCACCTGTACTTTAGTACCAGAAAAAAATACTAAAGCACGGCATCTTAGCAACATCGCCATATGGTGACGTGTAGACGCAACCTAAGAGTAGTTAAGCAGTCCCCCTAGAGGCTACTTAGGGAGGCTGTGAAATCTTTATCACTGGAAGGTATTAAGTATAGGTTAGGCAAATACTTAGACAGGGATAAGATCCTGCTTTGAGAAGCAGACTGGACTACATAAATTCCTGAAGTCCTTTCTGGCCCTCTTTTATTTTGGTTCTATCAACAAACATAATTATATTATATTATCAAATATGTTATATTTTTGCTTAAAGCTGCACTTTGAAAAAAAAATACAGCAGGTCAGTCCTTGGAAAAACCTACCTTTGTGCCTTCTTCTTTGACAGAAGAGCTTTTTGTCCATAATGACTGTATTGTTTCATACGTTTGATGGCTTGCAGAATATACCTTTTTCCCTGTTACCTAATTTAATTTAAAAAAAATGTGTTATTTCAAAGGAAGTTTTAAGAACTTCAGGGTTTTTGAATATTTCATGTAAAGCAAATTTGCTCCTGTAATAAACTATTATTATCCAATACTAGATAAAACATAACTTTTCAGTAATCTGCCTTTCAAAAATATGATGCTACCCAGAATTATTTCCCCCAGTTCTTAGGTTATAAAGCATATTTAATTAGTTATGGTAAATCTGAAGGCAATGTTCCTTTTTTTAATCACCACGCATCCTTTTACATGAAATAGAATTGAAACCTGATCAGGGAATACCGATTTGAATAAGTGTATACAACTGGCTAGATGAGCATCAATCTAACACATGCCACAAACATGACAGACCAAAATCTGGCTTACTTTATGTCTGGTATTATTCATACAAGGAAAATGGAAGTTAAATTTAAACACAGGTAAAGCAAACCCACAAAGAAGAAAGGGAAAACAAAGAAATAAAAAAGACCTGACTGATTATTGAACTCTACAAAAGTTCACTTTTGTTTCACTTTACAGAAGTCTGTCGTGAGGTCCTTACTCAGCCTATAACCAGGAAAATGCATTAAGCTGCAGTAACATCTCCATAATGGTTCTACTGATGCTCTGCAACCAAGGAGGATGCTATTTACTCAGACAAAAATTTTTGCACACACTATGTAAAAATTTGTGTACTTAGATTTTGCATAGGGATTAATGGTTTGGTTTAATGAGAAATCTTGAGGCAAGGCCACAGTGTATTGTCACTGTAGTTCTCCTATTCATTTGAACTGAAATTTGGATTTTCACGATCATGAGCTACCCAAGCTCCATTGACAATTACAGCAAACGTTACATGAAAGGCTGAAACTTTTAGTTTTCAGGACAGAACACAGTCAGATGTAAACAAATAATATTTACAAAAGAAAGAATGACAGAATGAACAAATGAATGACAGAACAAACGAACAAATATCTAGGTGATTAACACAGACAAGACAACGACAGTATTCTAACCAGACAGCCAAATAACTGCAAGATGGTAGTAAAAAAGACAAAGACAGTGATTCCCTGCTAAAAGACTGGGTGCACTTTACAGTTAAGCTTAAGAAACTTCAGCTGTAGATCAACTGGATTGTCCTGTATTATGATAATGTGTTGAAAGAAACAGCTTCCAGAAAATGTGATTTTTTTTAATTGAAAATGTAATTGTACCACATTTTAATTGAAACTGGTTCCTCCACATAAGAATTAAATACATGAAACAGCACTATATTAAAATAAATTCAGTTATTTTATTCACTTTTAATGGACATGTAATTAACAACCGACATATCACAAACACAATTTTTTATAAACTACTGTCATTGCAGTTGGATGCCAACTCTATACCCCGGGAAACTGAAGACTGGTAAGATTTCAGTCTCATTTAAATTTTTAAATATCAATACTTTCACACTGTATGAACTCTTACCTTAGTAATTTTTACCGACTGAGCTGGATAACAAACTGATATGCCTAAAGTGGCAAGTCCTAATGGATAAACAATTTTCTTAAATCTAGAACCTGCATAAGCCAAAAAAAACCCAGATATTAGATACAAATAAAACATAGCTGTCCAGTACTATGTCCTTTTAGAGATTTATCTTGGCAATTATTCAGAACAAATGTATTCCCCAGTTTGACTGGGAGACTTATCTGAAATTTGGTTTTTGTCCATTTCAAATTAAATCAAAATGTTCTTAACTCATGAAAAGGAAATTTAGAAATGTTGTTTAAGAAACAGACACTGACAAACAGTGAGAATCTGGGCGCATTTACATGTGCATATTAATACAATGCAAGAAACTCTGGTCCTTATCGCACCAGAGTTTATTCTTCCCAGGCATTCGCTTACACACGCGTCCGGGATCGCAGCACATTGAGCCAGGTTGGAGCAGCCCCGGCTGACAAGTGGTCCAGTGGGTCAGTCTGTCAGCCCAGGGCTGCTCCCACTGACTCAATATACTGCAGAGGGGCTGGCTGGGGCAAGAGGATGCTTCAGTGTGGGGCTAGCCAACAGGCACTATATCTTTAATTATGAATTATCCTTTAATTTTCTTTATACAATTAAAATAATTCCTTTGAAAGAACAGCAATGTTTATGATCTCCCTTAATAGCCTTTTTGACAGATTTTTTCAAAGGGTTCCAAAAGTTCAAATAAAATCTCTTCTCCAGTTTTTAGCTACTATTTAGTTACATGCTGAAAAAAAATCTAGTCGTAAGGAAAAACACAAAGTTCTCTTTAAAAAAATGGACTGGGATTTATCTGCATCATATTCAACTAGTGATAGGTATCTTATTATTCTATTAGACAAATATCATTTTAAGCAGCTTGCCTGGTTCTGAAGTAAAGTGCATTGGTCTGCGATTCACCATTAGCATGTCTTCCAAAAAAAAAGAAAAAAAAAATATATTTGCTACCTTTCCATCTTTCCTTTCTGTCCTCTTTTAATCCTTCTGGGTACTATAACTCTCTTTGATATTGCTCTACCTTTTACCCTGTTTCCGCCCTACCCCTGTAATCAATAAAGTTCTCCTTGTGACCGGTGTGGAGACTTATTGAGGGGTGGGTCTAAATTATGCCAAGGAGGCCCCTTAGGTCGGTGGACTAAGGGAGGCTTCCTAATAAGCCCCTGACTTGGGGAAGTGCCCCAAGCGCTTGTATTGGGTCTAGTACCCATTGGACGATCAGGCCTGTGTTTTCCAAGGTGCACAGAGCCAGAAGTGAGTCCAGAGCCTTGGATGGTGGCAGCGGGAACCCAGGCTAGCGGGTGTGCTCCAGGGAAGGGGTTGGCCGGACGGGAGGCACCCCAGGGAGGCACTCGGAGCCTGGAAGGTGGTCGGGTGCAGGGAGGTGGGCAGCTCAACACAGGAGCGCCCCCTACTGGCCCACCACACACACCAATACACCTGGGCAAAGATGAGCACCAACAGGATCACTATGGCACACCTGAACCACCTCTACATTGCCCAGCACCATCTACCATTACTGCACAACAGCTGCATCATCCCATCAGGCCTCTCGGACCATGTCATGGTCTGCTGTGAACTCAGCCTGCCCAGCAATTATAATCAGATCAGTTTCCTGCTGGCAGAGGTGGCAGCAGCACTGCCTAGCTGTAAGGCTGCAGCTATCATCCTGGAGGG